AATATCTGTAGCTCGGGATGTAAATATTGAATGACTTTTTTGCTGATGTTTCGCTGCCAAACTAGGCAATATCATCTGTGCGGCTTTAAGGTCCTGTTTCGCAGAGCCTCCTAAGCAACTTCGAGATTTAAGTGCTTATTGATCGAGTTCTGCTTTGAATACCAGGCTTCAATAAACTCACGTGCTTGCCGGTTTGTGGCTTTTCCGAGGATTTTGACTTGCTCCAAATCCAACTGGTGGCGTTCGGCATCCATACCCACGGATATCAGAGTTTTTATCGTGATGACGGATGGCTAGCTTATGTTCATCTAGTCTTGTACCAAGCTTTTTTCCTGTTTGTCCTACGTAATATTTGTCACAGTCTCGGCAACATATCTTGTAGATTACACCAGATGTTTCCCGCTTACTAAGTTTATCCTTCACTTTGAAGAGTTTATTTCGTATTGTTTCTGTTGGTTGGTGGGCGACTTTGACTCCTTAAGGCAACAAAATTCTCGCTGCCATTTCCGATATTCTGTTGATGTAAGGTAACATGGTTTACTTTTCAGTCGTTGCATTTGTTGAGGTGTGTTGTTTGCTTTATGTAGGGCCAACAAGCACAGTATGAAGCTTTTCGGGTACGAAATCCGCTTCAACAGGCCGAAGAGATGATCTTCCTCCGCCTGCCTCAGCTGCTGCGTGCTACAATGTGTCCGTGCTCGTTTGAAAGGAGTGAGCACGCATCTGCGCTTGCGGACTGTCTTATGATTGCTATTGTAGTTGAGGATCTGGTCCGTATGTGCTGATTTTGATAGACCGTTGTTTTGAGTGTTCCTAAACCACTCCTACGTTTGTGAACGTTCAAAAATCGTAGCTGCCCATCTTCTCTTCCGTCGTGTATTGGATGCCGTCGAACACACTGTTGATTAGCTCATGTGTCTCTTCGAATTCGGAACATTTGAGGATGACGAATGTGTCGTCTACGTAGCGCATCCAAAGTTTCGGTTTCGCAATTGGGAGCGCTATTCCTTCTAGCGCCTGCATCACTGCCTCTGCTACCAGTTCAGGAATCGGCGATCTCATCGGTGTTCCACTTATTTGCTGATAGATTTGGCCATTGAAGGTGAAATGTGTTGATAGACCGAATCCAAGAAACTCCATCATTTGTCTGGCATCTATTCCACTATTGGTATCGAAAGTTGCGTGTTCCTCCAATAGACCAGCCATTGTTTGTTTTGTCAATTTGATATCTGTCAATGTGAAGAGCACCGTCACATCAAAAGAGATCATTATTTCGTCTCCTTCTATGGTTATGGTTTTGAGTTTTTTAGAAACTGTACTGCCGAGTTGATCAAGTGTTCTGATCCCGCAATTAGATGTTTTAGTCCTTTCCAGTTATTTTACAAGTCTGGTTTGGTGCTCCAGGTAGCGACATGATGGGACGGTGAGGTACTCCGCTTTTGTGTACTTTCGATAGATTGTAGAATCGCGGTAGTATCCAGTCTTGTGGTTTCGTCATTTTATGTTCCAATTTTGTGATTCGCCCCATTTGTTCTAGTTTTAGCAGATTGCGCTTGATGTTACCTTCTTAGATTTTCGTCGGATCTTCCTTTATCGGTTAGTACGTGTTAGTATTGGTGAGCAGATGTGCCTTCATCATGTAATCGCTTTTGTCCATTAGAACTGTTAGGCGTCCTTTGTCGGCCGAAAGCATACCTATGCTCTTGGCATTTTTGGGACTAGTCAGAGCTTTTTGTTCCGTGGAGATACATGTGTTGGTATCAACTTTATGACTGAGAGCCGGGATGATCCTGTGTCTGATATTTTGTTGCGCTTCAGGTGCGATGTTGTATGACTTTAGCGTTAATTCCAGTGCAGCGAAGAAATCGATGGGGTTGTAGTCCTTGACATTGAGCTGCACACCCCGGATTATGACTGTTTTTTTAACGTCTCTTAGATAGCTTCGTAATCCACGCATCTTGCATTATTGGCTTCTATTGCGAAAGTACATTCACTTCTCTTCAAACTTACGTTTGGTGTTGCATTTCATCTTGTGTCTTTTGACTGCTATCGCCTTTTCAAATTATTCTGCCAAATTGCCCCTAGCTTGGCTAAGCATATTGCTTTCCTTTGGTCAATCACCATTTGATATTTATGTTTCCGATTGTGTGCATCTGTGATCAGCAAGCGCAGCATTCGTCGTCCATGTTGTTATGACATTTTCCAAGCCATTTGCCAGCCGGCGATCCTCCACTAATGAGCAGCTCTTTTTCCTTCACGAATGCTTGCGAAGACGGGTTTTGCTACCCAGTCTGCACTACCGCCCTCCGAGCAACCATCGTTTGGCTTGGAAGAACCACATGCCGGCAAGCAAGTGAGTTTAATGAAGCCTGGTATTCAAAGCAGAACTCGACCAATAATCACTTAGACCTCAAAGTCGCTTACGAGGCTCTGCGAAACAGGACATTAAAGCCGCACTGAGGATGTTGCTTAGTCCGGCAGCGAAACGTGTGTAAAATAATCATTCAGCTCGGATAACAGTGCAAAACCCACAGCAGACCTAATGCCACTGGAGTCGAACCATCTGCGGCCACTTTCCTGCACCACCCACTGGACGCCCATCGGCGACTGTCCCTTATAAGGCCACGCTGTCCCTTTTTCCCTGGCGGCTTTTAACATTCGCACTCTAAGACAAGTAGGTCAGCGGGCAGCACTCACACGTATGCTAGGTATACTGGTATTGATGTGTCTTGCATATCCGAAATTACGATTAATGACCCTCATGGGGTTGTTGGATTAACTGCACTCGGCTTGTACTCTCGCTATCGGGTGCACGCATCCGGCGACACTGATGCGACAGCCTCTGCTCAAGCTGGGGTACGTGTCGTACTCAGTTCGAAGACTGAGTCATCGTTGGTTGATTGCATTCCGGTGAACAGCCGTTCGTGTGCGTTCCGTTTGACGACATCGACCAAGGTTGATTCACGAGGTAATACAATACGCTGTTTGTTTGTGGTTTCCGCTTATGCTCCCACCGACTGCAGTTCTGATGTTGCCAAGGACACATTCTACCACGAAATGAATACGTTGCTACTCAGTGCTACGAGTTATGGTATCACAGTACTTGTAGGGGATATGAATGCGCAAGTAGGTCACTCGTGCTCTTCAGAGGCTCAACTAAGTGGTAAATGTGGGCTTAACTCCGACCGTACGGACAACGGCGAGCGTCTATTGCAGCTGTGTGCGGAGCACCAGCTGTTTCTTAGTAGCACTTCTCTCAGACACACTGGGCGCCGAAGTGCCACCTGGCGTCCTCCTGTAGTTGGCCTGCGTTAGACCCAAATAGACCACGTTACCATAAGTTACAGATGGCTTGGTGACATCCTGGATTATCGTTCCTTCCGGAGAACTTGCGTCGACTTTGATCATGTCTTGGTACGCTGTTGTTTTTCCCTGACCTTTACCGGGAGGCGGACCAAGCATCTTCATTGCTTGGCGACCGTGAAGTTATCCCAACCTTTGGTCAAACAATCCTATGAAGATGCACTGCGTACCGAACTTTCGCTCCCTTATTTTAATGACACTGAGTTTCAGTGGAGTCGGATCTCGGTCGCCATGTACGACGCAGGAGTATCTTCTTGTGGTACTGTCAGTTGTCACCACACCAGTCACTGTATATTGGAGAGGTCGGTGAAGCTATTGGAATCCACGATAAGCCTCTGGGCTGGCTCGGAACAAAATGTGACCAGACGGACTATTAGGCGCCAACTAAAGCGGAACATGCGCGCTGGTGAGTAAGCTTGGTTGACTAGTCGGGTTCAAGAAATGGAGGAGGCGGGAGCAGTGTGGAATTTTCGCAAGTTTTTCCAGCTGATCGGTGCCACGGGTCCCAGGAAACTAGGCGTCAATCAATAATCAGGAGATGCGCGGATACTGTGATTGGTGTTGCTGCTTTTGATTTAATCTACTAACCCATACTAGTAAGGCGGTTGATGTGGTTCGTATGCCGCATTATCGTCGTGGTTGGCCTGTACGCGTGCTTGCGTGTTGGGTTTCTTTCGTTACAAGGCTTGGTTGTTGATTTGCATCTCCGGTCTGGTCGCGGTTTGTGTGAATGTTTACTAGGTGTATACCTGTCTATTACCCACCATCTCTTCTTTATTGGCTACAGGAGAGTTGGAGGAGACGGGATACACTGTCCTATTGACGTTGCTGGACAAAGGGTGATTCCGTGCATCCAGCGTGGAGCGGGCTACGGCCCAGGCACCGCCTTGTGTACGTCTTGTGCGGTCGGCCGGTGCCCGAGTGATCTGCACCCCTGGCTTGCAAGCATAAGTTCACCGGATCGAATCCGCGAAAAGGCGGGCGTCCTCCCGGTATACTCAACCCGCGCGCGACTGGTGGTAGTCGTGCGGCAGCGTTGCGCTGTTACGGTGTACAGCTGACGATTTATTTCATTTTGTTTTTGTTTACAGAGGTCTGCCGCTCATCTTCGACAGTCTTGAACTGCAGTCGATGAGAGCATGCAATGAACCGAGGGAAGGATGCTGTACCTTCTTTGGTTATTGCTTATTAAATTCGCTAGGGCTCTACATTGTAATCGCATACATGTGGCTGTACATCGGGAGCACTTTCTGCGAGAGACATTGGATCTGTAGATGCCGTTGCACCTTGGAAACTCGCAGCTTAGGGACTTGGAACCGACTATAAATCCTATCGATCGTGAGCAGCTCGCTGCGATGGGTTTAACCTAATTGTTGAGACAATTTCTTCGGCCACGGCTTTTTGTTTATGTGCATTGTGGGCTTGAGTGTTTGTAAAGTAAGTCTCATTCATACTACGTAATTACAGGACGTCCAGAAACTATCTTACCTCCCATTACCAATCTTTTGGTCATTTTTAATGGCGTTTGATAAGCCTCATATTTTTCTCTTTTACAGCTCCCCTTCGGTGTATCACTTTTAGGCTTTCACTTCAGCTGATGCCTTTCTTCCGATCTATCACTTTTTCTGCTCCCGGAGCTTCCAGTGGAAAGATTTCAGCACGTTTTATCTCATTCTCCGCTTCTGTTTGGAAACTGCCTCCTCATGACAGACAACGTTACAAACGTCACCAACCGGAGCCCAGACATTCTCTACCATTCACTGACGAGGCACGTTTGGATCACTTACCAAAGAAGCCAATCCCAACCACTGGATTGTGGGGGTCTACGGCTCCTCACATAAGGGACAAAAGGTGAGAATTTCCATGCTAATGGGATGGACGCTACTCAGCTCTTGCGACATATTCATTACTTGCCCTTACTGCTTTCCGATAATGTTGTTTTTCTGTTATGTATGCTGATGGGAAATTGCGGATTGCCTCTCGGAAAGGTTGTCTAGTTGTTAACTTTGGAAGCAACAAAAGCTAAAAAATGATAATGTCTTAGCTATGCGCCGTAGCGATGCTTCGCTGCCGTGCAACCATCACCAGTCGCGCCAGGACTGAATATACCTTGAGCATGCCCACCCCTACGCGGATTCGAACCGGGGACATGGTTGCAAACTAGGTACGCAGACCACTCGGCCACCGGCCATTGCCCTTTTTCGGCCTAGGCAATCTATTTTACAGTCCGAAAACCCCCTTTCAATGGCTCCGCATGATGCACTATCTGTCCTGCAATCAATTAAATAACAAAATACAACGACGTGACGTACTTGAGATTCCGCCGAATCATTCTGACGCAACCCTTTACTATGCACAATCTTGTTTTATTAACCTAGACTCGCCATTTTGCATGTTTATCTTAGTAATGGGCTTGCTAGGATTTCTACCTTTACTTTCTCCTCACAATACAGAGTACAGGTGGATGAACGACTACTACTTTTTACTTTAAGGACGTTTCTAAGCTTACAGGATGATTGCTACGACCACATCGAGTCTTGATAGCTCCAACAGAGTGGTACTTTGAGAAAATTACTTTTAATACCAAAGAACAAGGTCATCCAAAGTAGTCATAATGATATTATCTTCAATAATGTGACAAACGTCATATCAGACAAATCGCAAGGAAACTTTCAACACTGATCAATGAAGACAAAATGGCCATGCGGAGATATTGTCTACATTTTTTGGTTTCCATCTATTGACGACAAATGAGAGAATCTAGAGATTCTAGCAAGCAGGCGAGGGAATTCTCGAAAGCAAAACACTGCAGCCAATTCAATCAAACAACACACTGGACTAGTGCTACTATACGCAGCATTAGGGAATGAAAGTCAACAACTAAATCAACTTTATCTACTGAAACAGCATGCCGGACACACAACTCGTACAACGAAGTCTACCACAGAGATACATGCATGAGTCGAAGAGATCACATTCGATGGTCAGGTGCTCGTCAGACAATCCGAACTCCGACTGACGGCTCTTCCGGTCAGACGATCGATCACGCACACGATTACCCGACCCAAACTCATTAACACATAGCATGGCGTCGCTCCACCACCCAATAGGGCACTGATATCATCTCAGAGGATGCTGATCAAACGTTAACAGGAAAACTGCCGATCAATCGCAACGGACCGTCTGTGCATAATAATAATGCATTTTTTCTTATTCAATCTCCTTACAGTTCTGAATATTGCCACACTTTTATCACAGATTAGGTACAACAGAATTACTTCTATTTCCCCATCTTTCTGTAATGAGAGGTTGCCTATGGGCATCCTCATCACCATCGCGGCTATCTAGGGGTGGGAAACTCATCAGCCATTGTACCGCAATATACAAAGATAACAGTCGTAAAATGGAGAGAAAATATATAAACAAAACAATCGAAGCTATACCTTGCTTAATTATGCATCAGGTATGAGATCATCGTTGGAGGAGGCTGAGCGAGAGTGAGCGCGACAATCGGGTTTACTACACGAAGAATTGCCATGCTGTTAATAAATAGATAAATAAATAAATGTTTTATTTCCGACAGTGCGGGTCACGCCTAAAATGGTATGATCATAGTATTACAGAGCGTATCATCAGTAATTGTCACAAGTGTTATCAGTGCATACTGGAGTTATGTTTTCTGCATATTTGTAGGTGCATGGGTTAGTAAACAATTTGAGTGAATTTGTTACTGTTGTGCTGAAGTTGTGGTTGTGTTCGGTGAATTCGCCAACATAGGAAGGGATCAAATAATATCTTCGAATTCGCCGATGACCGTGATTTGGGTAAGATCCCCCGGGAAAGGCAGGAAGCAGTGACTTTATTTAGTGACGAGTCATATCCGCCACGTCACAGTGTTGTTAAATAGAGATTTGTGGATTTTTATAGGGAGAACGCTTGACAGGCAAAAACCCACGACGTCCTGTAACACTTCCGTCGAACCATTCGCTGGAACAGGACTAACCCGGACCACCCAGCTGGCACCAGGTGGCGGTTGTTCAGCTAGCCAGCCATTGACTTCCGACTGTGTTCACTGAACGCTTACTCAGATCGGATGCCAGCTTACTTTCATATGCATCCAGGACATCTAGATTCTTCAGTTGCCATACATCTTCGCTCACAGCGTCGTCACCAGCGTCCACTGAGACACACCCTTGATCAGCGCGTGTAAATACATGGTCGAAGTCCGCGCTCATTCAGTTGCGGGGGATCGAACTAGAGTTTTGGAGGTTTGCATGCCAAATTTCGGAGCCACCGTCCCGCAATGGTTTCACGAAATTGTCGTCTTCCCCGAAGGATAAAGTACTTAGAAATCGTTCCTATTCTCTATAACGGTTATTTTCCGTTTAAGATAAATCCGACTAAACAGACAGGTCAATTCCAGTTGTTCATTACCGACTGGTGGCCAAGTGGCTCGAGCTTCTTGCTAGTAGTCCACAGTTCACTGGTTCGAAACTTTTGCGTGATCGCGATTTCGCACTATCTCTAGACTGAACACTGCTGCCGGTGATCGCGTGACAGTTTAGCATTGTTACGACACCCCGGCGTACTGCTGATGTCTTTTTCTTTTCACTGCATAATATATATGATTCAAGTGCTCATTTAGATCGTCCACCCCAGTTCGTCGTTGACAGCCGTTGCGACTGATGAGATTGTCTCACGTAATTTGACTTCACTCGATGATCAACTAGCCTCGAAGTTTGGCATTTCGCCGGGAGAATTTTACGCTTGTGCTATCTCCGTCGCAACGAAGTTGGACCTTAATGTCGTGCGACAGTTTGCATACCGCTTTAACCCATTGCACTATACTAGGTGGAGCCTCTGGACCCTTTGTGAGCTACTCCTACTTGGTTGGTCAATGGTTAGAGGGCAGAAAATATGTCTCCTGGTTCTCCAGGTTGGGGGTTTTGAATAGGTTGGCGTCCGTTTCTGTACACTTAATCATTGCCACCTCCCCGCTGCCTTGCGGACAGGGTTTTGAATCAAAGGCTTTGGTTGAGGACCCTAATCGTCCTCCTGTCTTGGTCTGGGCACTCTGACAGTATTTCAGCCCACATACAATCATGGCAATTTTTTCAAAATTCAACTACATCCTTCATCGGCTGTCGCGCAGCTTATCAACGGTCACCTTGTCTACTGCATACAGCAAGGTGGATAAGCGAAAACATGCTGCTGCTGGCGCCTCCTTCTTTCTTTTTCATTTGTTCCTCTTACTGCCCTCCCAACCCCCATTACTAACCTACCTTCTATAATTGCTTGCTTAACTGACAGCAGCCGTCATGTCACTGGAGTCGAACCATCTGCGGCCACTTTCCTGCACCACCCACTGGACGCCCATCGGCGACTGTCCCTTATAAGGCCACGCTGTCCCTTTTTCCCTGGCGGCTTTTAACATTCGCACTCTAAGACGAATAGGTCAACGGGCAGCACTCACACGCATGCTGGGTATACTGGTATTGATGTGTGTTGCGTATCCGAAATTACGATTAATGACCCTCATGGGGTTGTTGAATTAACTACGTTCGGCTTGTACTCTCGCTATCGGGTGCACGCATCCGGCGACACTGATGCGACAGCCTCTGCTCAAGCTGGGGTACGTGTCGTACTCAGCTCGAATTCTGAGTGATCGTTGGTTGATTGGATTCCGGTGTAGAACCATTTGTGTGCGTTCCGTTTGATGACATCTACTAGGGTTGATTCACGAGGTAATACAATACGCTGTTTGTTCGTGGTTTCCGCTTATGCTCCCACCGACTGCAGTTCTGATGCTGCCAAGGACATATTCTACCACGAACTGAACACTTTGTTACGCAGTGGTAGTCCATCGCAATGTGGCTGTACCTTACCGTGGTACGATGATTTGTGTGCTTCATCGATTAATTGAGCTATGCTGGGTGGTGCTTTTTGTACCTTCAGAGCCACTCATACCAGATTGTTCAATGGTTAGAGGCCCGACAACCTTTGCCTCCTGGTCCTCCAAGTTTCGGGTTGGAATGAGGTTGGCTCCTTATTCCTTAAAACAGATTGCTTGTAGCCTAACGCGAAAGTCGCTGCCTTGTGGTCAGGTTTTTGAACCAATGGCTTTGGTGGAGAATCCTAATCCTTCTCCTGTCTAGGCTTGGGCAACCTGACAGTATCCTGCCCACGCAATACTATGATTCTTCCGTCAATTAATTTCTTGTTGCTCTGGCCACCGCAGAGGATAATCAACCGTGCTTTATCTGCTGCTCATTTGCCGAACAACCTCCTCGTGGTGCCAGCTGGGTAGTTCGGGTTTTTCCCGTTCCAGCACCTGGTTCGGCGTAGTGTTCTGAGACGTGGTGGGTTTTCGCCCGACAAGTATTCTTCTTATAAAAAGCCACAAATGTCTGCATAAGAACACTGCGGCGTGGCGGATATGACTCGCCACTAAATAAAGTCACTGCCCTTTGCCCCTTTCTGAGTGGCAGTGTACTTCATTGGTGCGTTGGGCCCCTGTTTCTTCACGTACCGATAGACGTATGAACCACTTATTTGGTCACCGGCTCCCAACGGGTAGCGGCGCCCTCACATCGCTCTGCAGCCTTGTAGGTTAGATCTTTGATCAAAGGCTCGGGGTCGGGCCCCCTGAGACAACCGTCTACTTCGGCCTGGGCAACCGGGTAGCATCACGCCCACTGACGAATCGTGGACCACACTGCTTACTACTGCTCCTGTTATGCCTATCTTCTATGCTAACTCAACTCCTGAACCTCCACTCACAGATCACCTCACCTCCCGTCCTTCACCTATATGTACTCTTATATCTTTTTTGGTCACCGTCACAAACGACC